CAGCTCGGATGGATTCTGTCTAATCGAAATATGATGAAAATAGAAATGCTTTTAGTTTCTTCTTAAAAACTTCTAGATTTTCTGCTTCTCTGATAGTTTTTGGAAGCCTATTCCAAACAAGTGGGGCAAAATATGAAAAAGAGTGTTGGCCATATGATTTGTAATTTATCTTAGGTTTAACAAGGGTTGTTTTGTCACTTGATGGTCTGGGCGTTTTAGAGAAATCATAGGGTGTTAAAACTGTTTTAGGTAGTCAGGGGATAAATCATGTAAGCACTTGTAGCAAGTTAAACAGATTTTATACATTATACGCTCTTTCACCGGGAGCCAGTGTAGTTCTTTTAAAATAGGAGTCACATGATCATGCTTTAGTTTCTTTGTAATTATTTTGGCAGCAATATTTTGTACTCTTTGTAGTTGCTGTAACTGTTCATCAGGTACACCAGCCTGTAAGGAATTGCTATAATCAAGCCTTGACAATATAAGTGATGTTATATTAAAGTTTTGGTAACACCAACAGGTAGATATTTTCTAATGCTCCCTATTTTCTTCAGTTGGGGATATAGTCTTTTACAAAGATTGGATACGTGGGATTTCATTGACCTATCTTGATCTAGCACCTGGCCTGCTAAGTGTTTTTATAGTATCCCTTTGTTAGGGGATTAACTTTCAACGTTGTAAAATTGTAATATTTCACTCTCTTTAGACCCCCCCTCCTTCCATATAATTTCGAAGGCACCAATTGTTTTGTCACTTTTGAGAAGAAACCACCCGCTCTTTAGCCCTCAAAATTTTCACTACGGTAGCATTGAATATCGGACTTTAATGATTTTGAGCTTAAAATGTAACGTTGTAGTCTTCGATCTCTGTGTATCGTTATGAAATAATTAATTTAATCAAGCATTGCACCATTGCTTTACACCCCCCCCCCCAAAACAACAACAACAACAACAACCCACAACAACTACGAAACAAAACAAAACGAAACAAAAACATAAACAAAAACATAAACAAAAGCATAAAATGAGCGTCCACTCTTCATTTGTGGTTCAAAACTGCATAAAAAAACCGCAAACCAAGTGAATGTCGGTGACACAGCGTTTAGGAAGGTGTGGGTCACTGCAGGTCCTTCAGCATTTCACAATAACCCTCGCTCAAAAACAGGTCGTTGCATTGTGGAGATCAGCAATCATGTGTGGGTTGTCTCTGTTTGTCATATTGTGTAACAATCATGACTGTATTTTATTTGTGTATTTTTGCATTTGCTTATTTAATCCATTTCAAAACGAATTTCTCATGGGGATTAGTTAAGTGGAATTTATCTTATTTCTATTTGTAGTTAGTAGAAGTGGTGGTTGAAACAAAACATGATGATCTAAGCCCTAAGCTGTATTTCTGCTGTGCTATAGCACGTGGGCAGCTTGTTGTTCGAGAAAGTGGATCTTCTGAAAAAAATGTTTAAAAAAAAATTAAACAAAATAACGCGTCCATCTCCGATAAAACCCCCCACAAAGTAGACCTGGGGTCCCGAAAACTCCCCAAAACACGATAGTTTAAGAACGCACAATTAGGGGTCTGCATCATCGTCATCCGCACCAAAGCTCAGTATGACAGCTGCGTTATAAACACTTAAAATTGCATACGGTTGGAGGGCATCATGGTAGGTTATATGGCTTTTCTTTCTCTCTGTTATTTCTGTCCATTTGTCTTACCTTTTCCTGGTATTAGATAACCTTTGATGTGTCTATGTGCACCCCTTTACTCCAATAATGAAACAGGTTTAAAAAAAAAGAACCAGACAAACAATCGAACAAACTAACGAACCCTTACTATTACTACTTGGATGTACATAGAAGATGTTTGCGTCTATGTATATAATTTTCTTCTTTCTCTCCTTCATCTTAACAACTTCTGTACTCTTGCCACAAAGGGTACGCTACACATGAAATGACCTCTTCTCACATAGAAGGGGAACATCTCACTACATCCTATTGGCCACATAAATGCCGAAGATTAGAAGTGTTACAAGAGAGTAATGTTACAAGAGAATAATAAACAAAAAAGGAGGAAATTAAAGAACGGTAAATGTTTAACACTATAAAAGTAGCAAACCACACTAGAGCACCCGCAAACCACCCACTTAACGTTTCAACAAAATATAAACACAAAGTTTCAATACGAAAACTGAAGCAAACAGACTATACCCCCC